CTTCCTTATAACTATTTTTGACTCATAAATTATTGTTTTGCTTGTATGGACAAATATCCACAATGATTCCTATGTCCAATTTGTCTGGTTTTATTTCCACCAATAGATCTTAAAATCATAAGCTCCATGCGCAAATTATTGTACATGTTGCTTGAAGTTTTAGTTGCTAATAGATCATGTTGCACAAATATAGACATATATTAATGGTTGTTGTAGTAAAATGAAAAAAAAGTTTTTTGAAACATCTTGCATTTGTTTTGCCTCTGTAGTGAAGGGCATGTCCCAAATTAAGTTTTGTCAATTGTACCACTGGCTGAAACATTTTGCATGAAATTTTCCATGTTTAAAAATGAGAAGTAAGTGAACTTAGTGCAGAGTCATGTTCATGATAGTGGAAAGAACTAGTTTCACTATGGTACAATTAGACTTAGCTTTATAGAAAGTGGCTATTTAGACCTCCGGTACTACCTATTATCAATAAAGTCAATTTCTCAATTGTGCTCCTTCCTAAGTTAACTCACAAGCTGATACTTCCGGCTTATTTTGCTTTCTTCCCTCTGGTACAAGTTTGCTACCCTCAAAGCTTTGCTCTAGACCTCATATGTTTGGTCCAGCAGCTCATGTCAGTTCCAACCAGACCTTGTAAAATATTTTTGTTTGTTTGTTGGGCCTTGAACTTCTAGAATTTCCCAGCCAACAGATTGCCCTTTTGTTTCCCCTCTTGTTGTTACTGATCTTCCAGTGATCTTACTAGTCCATCAAGAACTGCCTCACATTTATAATTGTGCCTTGACTACAGCTCCTTGTTGGTTTCTAAAGAATGTGTGCAGGGACAAAATCATTTAAGGGTTTTTGGTAATAAACATTGCAGTTTCCATGGAAATTAAAAAATGGAACAGAGTTAGGGGGTGGAAAGAAGAACAAACATGTCCCTTCCACACAACATTATTTTGTATATTTAAATGAATCAAGAGGAGGCAACTCTTGTGGGCCATTTTTGCCTTTTGCTGGACTTTTGCAGGCTGCATCCTGCTCTGGCCCCATAAAACCTAGGCTTGTGGAGTCAGGCTTTTTTGAACTTTTTCTTGTACTGGGATTTTAAATTGAATTTAGTTTTTAAACTATCATTGATTTAATATTATTTTAAGGGGGGAGGGGGACATGCTGTATTTATATGTTTTAATTGGGGATTGTTTTACGCTGTATATTTTATGCTTGTAAGCCGCCCTGTTTGGATTACCATTGGGCGGGGTATAAATAAATTTTATTATTATTATTATTATTATTATTATTAGGCGAAAAGCCATCTCAAAATGGCAAATAGCACCCAGAGAATCTTGGAGGGAGAATGCTTGGTCATTTAAATGTTATTTCAGACCTTTGGCCTGTTTTAGATGATGGAATGCACTTTGCCCACCTTAAGCATTGTTTCTTGGTCTTCAAGAGTCCACGTTGCTAGGAGAACATGTAGTATTTTGAGTGACATATGTGGTAAATCCTTATGACTTGTGATATGCACCTTTTTAGCCAACACTTTAAAGTTGCATGGTGTCCAAATGCAAGCTTACCACTGTGAGGGCATATGGCAATATGACAGTATGTCCATGCTTGTTTACAGATATGCTTTATGGTCTGTGTTTTTATAAATATACATTTGTAATGTTCAGTTCATATGTTCCAGCAAAGGCTTCTATTTTCTGTTTTTTTCTATTTTCAATTAGGTTTCCAGTAACCAGAGCTTTAAAAAAGTTACTTTTTTTGGACTGTGAGTTTAATTGTAATACTAACTGAGTGATTCTGGGAGTTGTTGCTTTTGCAAACGCACCACTTACGACGTGTAGCTTCATCCTAAGAGCTCTGATCCCTTCCCTCCCCCCAACTAATTAATTCCTGAGAAGTTTCACAAATAAAGAATCCCCCAAACATTAACTGGTATAATCTATAAACTGCCTGTAGCCACCACCTATTCAAACAAATACCCATAGGCAAGAGAAAAGTTGTTCCACAGGAGGCAAAAGTCAATATGTAATTGAACTGAGATCAATATGCATTTCAATAGAAAGTGCTACTGCCACCCACTCATCACAAACTGCTGCTCACTTACCTTGGAAAGATGAAAGGCTGAGCCAACACCACAGGGAATGTATAGAGGTTAGATCATTGGATCTATGCTCCTGGCAATAGGAAACTTTACACATTGATCTGCGCACTCTTTACTGCTAAAACAGTTAAGAGAAGGGTTGTTTTCTCCCCCAAGGGCTGATACTTAGGTCTTCAGATATGGTAAGTTACATCTTGGAGGGAAAGTTAGGTTGTTACGTGTGAATAATGCATCCTTAGCTGGAGATATTTAAAGAGAAGCTTTCTAAAGATGGTTTAGACCAGGGGTAGGCAACCTTTTTGAGCCGGGGGTCAGGTTGCTGTCCCTCAGACAATTGGGGGGCCGAAGCACCAAAAATAAATAAATACCGTAAATAAAAATAAAAATATATTTTTTAAAAAAATTAAAAAAAACAAATATGCATGCACACTCTCAGCCCCAGAAAAGCCATGGCAAAACCCCTGTGGAGATTTTGCCAAGAAAACCCCAAGAACAAGTAATAACACGAATAATCAATATCATCATGGTGGGGGGCAGCGGCAGTGGCAGGACCAGCCTAGGGCTGGTCCAAAGGCTTCGGGGGCCGCATCCGGGCCTTAGGTTGCCTACCCCTGGTTTAGACAGTTCATTTGGTGCAGAACACTTCAGTAATGGGGGAGGGATAAGTGATTGGCTTGTATAACATCTATACTACACTAGCTACACTGGTTGCCAGTATGTCTTCAAGTACTATTTGAACTGTTGTTTTTGATCTTTCAAGTCTTAAATGTTATGTACTACCTTCATTTGTATTCACTTGCATATACATTGTGCCAATGTGTGGAAGGCAGACAGGCCATTAATAATAATAATAATAATAATAATAATAATAATAATAATAATAATAATAATAATTATTATTATTATTATTATTATTATTATTATTATTATTATTATTATTATTATTATTATTATTATTATTATTATTATTATCCCACCCTTCTCCCAAGACTGGAACTCAGGGCAGCTTACACCATTTAAAAAAAGCACACCATACAGTTAAAAACATACAAAAATAGTACATTAAAATAGGATTAAATTACTACAATAATTAAAACAAATTTAATGATAAAATATCAAATACTTTAAAAAGATAAAAATGCTTAAAATACATTAAAACAATATAGTACCCCAGGACAGTCTTTAAAAGTATTCTATTTTGAATGCTTGTCTGAAGAGGAAGGTTTTCACCTGTCGATGGAAGGCCATCAAAAAAGAGGCCATTCTGGTCTCCTTGGGCGGGGAGTTCCAGCGTCTAGAGGCAGTCATGGAAGAGGCCCTCTCTCGTGTCCCCACCAACCATTCTTGTGATGGTGGTGGGATGGAGAGAAGGGCCTCCCCTTAGGATCTCAGAACCTGGGCCGGCTCATAGAAGGGGATACGGTCTGCCAAACAGCCTTACAAGGTGAAGGGGCTTTTTAATAGTGATCCCTTGTCTTTCAAATATATTGTCATTTGGGGTCCATGTAGAATACCCCAGATTCACAGCCTTGTAGATTAGCTTTGAAGATTAATTTTACTTTTTGTTTTTTGTTTTTTGTTTTGGATTTTTTGGTGCTTTAACTTGATTGGTTCTCAGTTGCAATTGTTTTAGAATTCTCTGGGCTAGTTATTTGTTTAGTATCAACTGGTATTTATTATATTTTTAAAAAATGTTCACTTTCATATTTCATTGGGAGTTATGAGAAGTATCTAAACTCTCTTTCCGAAGTTTAGAAGGGCACTAACCTTGGCACGTTTTAATGTGCTGC